AACAGAAGTACCTGACAAATAAATATTCACGGATATTTTGTGAAATATTGTGAAAGTCATTACTAGACTGCGGATTTTCATGCAAAATAAAAAATGTTTAAGTTACTCGTCAGGAATGTAAGTCAGATGGAAGGGTCTTTCCTTTGTTAATAATGTTAATAAGGTGTATGTTTCATGCAAATGTTCTTAAATTCTTTTGGTGTTTCTACGATTTCGTTTTTAACCCAGTCAGTTTTTGTGAAAATGCATAAAATCTGCAGGCTAATTACTACAAATGTACTTAATGTTTTAGTTACCGTAAGTAACCATGTAGCATGGTCAATTTTTTCTAAAAACTTGGGCGGTGTATATTATATGCAGAAATAAAAATACTACTACTGCAACGTTGCGTAACAAAAGTAAATAAATGCCGCATTAAAATATTATAACAAAAATATGAGTTGATTTATGTTTGCTCCACTTTTTGGAAAAAAATAAAAGTGACTTCCAATTTGTGATCTCCTGGACAATGATAAACGATATCCTCACGAATACGAGTAATAATAAATAATAAATAATTATACGAGTACAAGTACGAAAGATATATTTCGAATATTTTTTCTTTTCAGCCAAAGAAAATTTTCTGTTTTCTTATTAAGATAAAATAGTATCCAAGTGTTTCTACTTTAGAATTTAGACGATCATGGACTAATAGATGCGTGAAAAGTCTTTATACTTTATGTTTGCATTTAATACTTCTGTTATAACTAGGCAGCAGTTTTTATGTATTTATGACAAATTTTAGTTATAGTTTAAAATAGTAGAACGATTAAAAGAATTTAGGAATGTTAATGTATTATTTTTTATCTATCCAAATTATTAACGAAAGAAAGAACTTTCTATTTAGTTTTCATTTCTTGCAATTGATGCAAACACAACAGTGTAGTATTTTTTTACCTATAAAATACATTGCTGAAGGTTATAGAGAAAACCGTGAAAGATATTATAGAAGCCATATATCTACTTTAGAAATGTCGTTAACAAAATGTCACATACATTAAAATATAATAAAAATAAAAAATGAAATATTCTGTTTCATTTTAAAAGACTTACCCATAATAGCTTCGGTTCTCCAATTCCTGCAGACTCTGCACATGTGAATCTCACCCCAGATGTATAGGAAGCTTATATGAAAATAAAAAAATAATAATTTTATTTTTGCTACTAATAGTAAAGACGTTGACTAGTCATATGTATTACTTACTATTTATGCACTTATCGCCATTCGAATATTGTAGTCTTATAACATCTCTGCCATAATCAAAAATAACATTAGCCAATGATCCATAACCATTGCTCTCTTGACAAACAGCAGAACCATTGCAAAAGGTTCCCCCTCCACATATATTTATGTTATAATCTTTTCCTTGCTTGCTTTTTACCTGTAATTTATTTTTTAATAGTTTATTTCATTGTGTCAATAAGCACGTTTAGCTAATGCCTATTCGAAGACTAAATTTCCTATTTTTGAAAAGTTATCGATATTTAAGCTGTTACTTAATTTAACCTTGACGTAACCTTCACTGTTGTGAAGGAGAGAGTGACCTCCTAAAGTTTGTAGCTGTCCCACGTTTTTTAATTTAAAAGTTATGAACAAAAGTCTACATATATGCATGTGATCTTGGTTTTGATAGATGTTATAGCGGACACTCTCCGAAATTAAGCGACCGTGGAGCGGTCGGCTACGTACGCATGAAATAATACTTTTCTAATATTTTTTCACATTTAATTTTTCTACATTTGTTATTATTTCAAATGTATGTTGCCGGTTATCTTACGGCGACCGGATTACCAAGTCTAACCCAGACCAACATACTTACTTCTAATTAAGTTATAACAGACAATTTTTTTTTCCTAGCAGTCTTACATATACAGAGTGACCCATTTAAGTCGATACATTTAAATAGCTTTGAAACCATCGATGACACTATAAAATGTTTCAAACGAAAAAAAATAATAAAATTCAAATATCTTCTAAACCAGTCATTTATCGCTATATATGCTTTAGTATTTAAAATAAAAATATTTTAAAATTTATAATAAAATTTTAACTTTGACTTTCCTTTACTTTAACTTTAACTTTAAATATTTATAATAAAAAATATATGATTCCATTAAAAAAAAAAAAAGTTGACTTTCATATGTCCTTGAAGCGTTCATCTAGAAAAATGTTATTAAATATCAGATTATGTGTCCCTTAAAACCATTCAAATTTCGTTTGAAACATTTTTTAGAGTCATCGATGGTTTCGAAGATATTTGCTGGATCGATTTATCGATCGATCCTGTATAGTTGTGCATGGGACAGTTATGTTCTTTTAATTACAGAATAATCTCGTTTGAACTGATATAAACACTTCTTGCAACTTTAAATACCAATCCCATGCCAAAGATTGAATTTGAAATAAGTACTCAGAGATATATGCGATATAAATCAAAACACAACAGTAAATTTAGGAATGTAATGAATGTTTATAATACATTCTATCTGTATTTTTTTATATTATATTATTACTACGCCAAATAACTTTTTTATTTAATACTTGCACCATTACTATGTACGTAATAGTTGTTTTAAAATAACTGCTATATTTTGCAAACTTTTCTTGTTCATAACTTTTTAATAATAAATGAGCATTGACTAAAACCTTTTTGGCGTTACTCAGAAAAGTAACCTAGACAACATATGTTTAGGTCATTCGTGCTTCCTCTCCTCTCCTCCAAGATAAGTCTATGTTTATTGTCGCGTGATTCTTTTTTACGAAATATAACAGTTTAAATATCGACAATTTTTTAAAAATCCAAAATTTTCTTATTGAATAGTTTCATGAACGATTGTAAGAATTAGTAAACTTACATGATATATTGGTTGGCTTTTATATAAGGAGGATAGATCGCATTCGTGCGAAAGATGATCTCTTATAATGCAAGGGGAGGTCCAGTTTCCCATTGCAGCTCCACATGTTATACTTGTTTTCCATTCGAAAATATAAGTACAATCTTTATAAGTCTTAAACTCTGGAAATCCCTTAAAAAGAACAACAGTGTAATTACGTAACTACTAATTTAACGTAATTTTTAAATAAAATTTACGTATTCTTACCTTATCGCTATAAACATTACATGGGAACGTAAAATTTGAAGAAATTAATTTAGTTGGGTCTTCATGACAGGGTGATCCACCTATATAACGTAATACTGTATCACGATTTGCATCCAATACAGGACTTTCTTTTGGAAATCCTAAACTCTGACAATGAATAAAGAAAATTTTATCTAACAATTATTTCATAAATTTTCTTTTTTTTTAAAGAAAATGTACTTTTAAATAATATATGTTATGTTTAATAAAACAAATTGAGTTTCAGGTATTAACTATAAATGAATTTATTCTGATATAAATTTTATCTAAACCTTTTCTTCTGACATTTACGATACTGGAGATATTTGAGGTAGTAATCATTTTTGTTTCGTTTTGTATCTACTTACTTCATTTATATACTCCTTGTTTGAATTTAAAGTAGCTTTGCAGACTGCACTGCCATGTGCACATGTTAAGCTTGGCACAGGCACCAATGGTCTGCATATATTTATGTGATACTCTGTTTTGTTTACTTTCACAATATAATTATCATTAGATTTGATCAACGAACTTAAATTCATCTCATCGTCGTCCATTGCAACACACTTGATCTATAAAATAATCAATTCTATTATTCATGTGTTTTGTTTTTGTATCTGTATATATAATCATTTTAAAAGATAGATGACCCTTTCTGCACAAACTAGGCTAGTGTTCCAATGTATAATTAATTGACACGGCTTCTGCTCTACTACAAATGGTTTGTTAGAATCTTCTTCTGTTCCACAGAGAAATGCAATTGTTGTATAATGTTTCTGCCCATTTTCACAAAGATCTCCATTTGTATAATTTAAATATGGCCCATCTTCTTGCCACATTAAATTTGTATTGTACTTCCCCATAGATGTGCCATTTTTTATGGAACATATTCCTAAATGTAAAAATATAATCCAAAATATTGAATTACTGATGATTACATTTATCAAAAATTATGTAATGAATTTATTCAAATAACCTGTTCCTGATGTACATTTCATATTTGTAGGTGGTTTACATACTCCAAACTTATATTGCGCACCATTTTGTGCTGTAGCATAATAATCTTTTGTCATTAAGGATTTTAAATCATACCTGTAACATTAGTTACAATTAATTATGGTAATTTTAAATGAACATAACTTTTGTAACGTTATATATCTTTTATTGAAATGAGATCTATTGCAATTTATACAGTTCTTTCAAGTAGTTGCAGGTTTCCTAATTTAATTATGAAAGTTACGTTCATTTAAATTTATCATTAAAAAATCACAGACTTTATATATTACAACTTACTAGAAATTTTGTTTAAAGAATTTGTTTAATATACAGAATATTTCAATTAAGCTTACGTGGAATTTGTAAGGGGATTAGTTACTGTGCATGTGCCAGCAGTTGTTGCACTGTAACTACGCAAAGATTCTATGCTACAAGCAGCTGCTGTTTTCCATATTATCTGATAGTGACATTCTTTACCTCCTCCTATATATTCTGGACTTGTATCCTGGTATCAATAAACAACATACTTATAAGAGATAAAGAAGTTGTCAAATGCATTACATTATTTAGAGTTGTAAGTTACCGTAGCTTCAAAATCACATATAAAAGAAACAGTGGTTTGAATATGTGGTGCTGCAACATTCTTATCTTTACATAAGTCTCCATTTTGATATTTGAGTTTTAATTTCCCATCCTCGAAAATTGGAGCTTGTGTCACATCACCCAAATTTATGTATCTAAAGCAATAATATATTATGATAATATCAAGAAGCATACATAAAGTTTATATTCTTTAAAAAATAACGTTCATACTCGATTTTTGAAGAATTTTGCTTTAAGCAGGCTCCCGATTGTATTTGACATAAGGCATCGTATTCAAATATCACAGAGTGACAAACATTTAATATAATTTTTGGCAAATTTTTGTTACCAGTACGAATAGCATAATTTGTTGAGTACATTGTTAATGAAGAGAGGTCATAGTGTGATCCATTATGTGATACTATACAAGGTTTTTGAGTTCTTGGACCACAAGCAAGTGCAGTCCTCCATAATAAGTGGAACTGACAAGCATCTGTCTGCAATTGTCAGTAATGTATAGTACATTAAAAATGTTGACACTTGTACATGTGCTCTATCTCAAAAAATAGCAGTTATAATTATGTAATAATAACAATATGAAAGCTAATATGTGTGCATATACATACACGAGGAAATAATGCAGGAAGAGAATTATCTGAATAATCGCACTTCATAAGAATAATTACACTATATTTATCTTTCTGTGTACAATTAGTGCCTGTAAATCTAAATAATGTTCTGCCATTGCCTACTTCTACTTTTGGTGGTGATTTTCCTAAAATGATAACATAAGACTGCATTAATAAAGATAAATTAAGATTGATTGTGATACTCTAAAAAAATATAAAAATATGAACCTATTCCTATTTCTTCTTTGTTCTTTATCAAACAAATTTGATATCCATCTGTTCCATTGCATTTTTGTTTTAATGGCGTACATAACTGTATTCTCAAGGTTTCATTTAAATAATCATTATGTATAATAATATCTTTTGTAGAATCCGAAAGACTTGTAAAATTGTATTTGAAAAGGTTCAATACAGGTTCTTGGATTATGCAAAAGGAACTGTCATTACCTTTTGATGTATCCTGCTTAAAAAATAAGTAAATTTGTGAACGAGCATTTAGGCTTATGCATTTATCCATTTTATTTTATAATAGACTATGTGATTATAATACGAATATGAAAATTATTCACAGAATTGAGAAAAAAGAAATTAACTAGTTAATTATAAATTTTATACGTACAGCAAATACAGCAATTACTGCAAACCAATAGAGAGATATTGAAACGGTTAAACTGTACATTTCTTGTCGTTATCTAACTGTTGATTAATCACATTGTAAATAGTTATGGTAGTTACAAGCATAACAATACGCGTTCGTTTTTAGACGTAGGAAACAAACGTTCATTCAACGAACATAATGTGAAGATAAAGCTTAAAACCGCTTTATTAACATAGTTTTAAACCGCATGAGAGCTTCGTTTCCTTCAAGTTACACCTTGAATGAGTGACAGTTGAAAAGCAACAGTTACAACAGAAAAATCTCTTCAATTGATAATAAATAAAGGGTACATAGAACAACAATGTACGTATTATATATAGAACGACGCTGCCGTAGAAATAGTTTGCGTGGCGCTTGTGAGATAATCGCAGTTATAAAAGAGTTTTACAAAAGCGACACTTCTATCCGAAACTTTAACATTTGTGACCTTGACAATATTTAATCTACATACAGACAGTGTTGTCGTTCTTGTAAATTGATGCGAACATGCTATAGTATGTTGCTAAAATGACTTAAACCTTAGACCTTAGAATCCGTATAGATATTGCATGCAATACATTTTTCTGTCTACGATTCTGCAGAAAATGTTGTCACAAACGTGGTATAGAATAGACCATCCTCGTGATAATGATGGATTTGGAAGACTGAGCATAGACTGGACGGGTGTGAAACGAACGCAAAGGCAGGGGACAAAATTTCGGCCATATATATTTGGGCGGCATAAAATCCGGACCGAATCGGGACTCTGTTTCCGAGCCGGACGGATATATGTAGATGATGAACATCACAGGTAAATGAAACTTATAAATCGGTAACAATCCGTTATTTAAACAACAATTTTGAGATGAAGCATTCTACTTTAAAAATAAAATAGTAGTAAAAATTTAAACAAATTAGTGATAAATACCTTACATAACGTAACCGATAATGCAGCAAATATTATACAGGCAATACAATTATTTTCATAAGTGGAAGCGTATCCCACATTTCTCTTGCAGTTTACAGATGAACAAACAATAAAGAACAATTAAATGTCAAAATAAATAATAAATCGTGAAGTTTTAATATCTAAATGTAATCAGTTTTTTGAGTTAGCAATAAAATATTCTATAAAACACTTTTAGAAATGGATTTTTTGCTGTATACCATTATAAAATAGAAAATTTTTTCCTATATTTGTTTTTAACTTTGATTATTTTCCTTTCCTCTGCGTTATAGTGTATTTTTTGAAATTAGATCATGTATACCATTATGTTGCTTCTTTTAGTTTATATGATGGTGTACATATCTATTTCCGAAAAAAAATGTACTTAATATATTTCGAATCTGGAATCCAGAATTTGAATTACCGCTTCTAGACCGCCATATTGAATTTTAGTTTGTCCAAGTTTGTAACTAGTTTAGTGCAGGCAGCCTAAACAGTGCCCCAAAAATTGATTAAGAGTCGTGCCCCCTTGGCGGAACTGTACAGACCAAAGCTCTCAGGTGCCTGATCGTTCTTGGAATTTTCACCCAAGGCAAGTGTGCCTATTAGTATCTAGTATCTCCAATGGTGTCAGAGATTCTGCTCGGAATCTGCTTCAAGTGACAGAGAGGAGATCTCACAAATAGGATTGGACAATTCCAATAGATTGCCAATGGAAACCATTAGCATCATCCAATCCCATTTGTGATAAGTAATTCTTCCACATCTACTTTTCTGGAAGAAATTCATAAAGCCCGTTAAACAGTCAAGCATCTGAGAACTCTGATACAGACTATAGTGGATTATAATGATTCGTGTTCTCTGGTCTAGCTACAACTGATTTTAACGTCTCTGTCATTCAAATAGTGGATACGAAAACAAACGTTTGTTTCGCTGATTTATATTGTCATAAATCCCTATTGTTTCCTTAAAAATGAACGACGATCCGAGAGAGGTTCTAGCGCTTTTAAATTCTTTGGGATTTGTTGGAATTACTGCGCAACAACTAAAAAGTTTCATGAAAGGTAAACATATTTATTATTACGGACGTTTTGTTCCTACTTGTTTAGTGATTAATTTATGTACAGTAGTGTTAATTTCATTACTTCTATCGGCAGATTTGAAATTGTATAGNCTTTGATTATTTTCCTTTCCTCTGCGTTATAGTGTATTTTTTGAAATTAGATCATGTATACCATTATGTTGCTTCTTTTAGTTTATATGATGGTGTACATATCTATTTCCGAAAAAAAATGTACTTAATATATTTCGAATCTGGAATCCAGAATTTGAATTACCGCTTCTAGACCGCCATATTGAATTTTAGTGCATCCAAATTTGCAGCTATTCAGATGACAGTCAAAACAGTACCTCAAAAATTTAGTAAGAACCGAATCCTCTTTGGTCCATGGATACTCCTGTCTTCGATCTAACATTACTCGGAAAGTCTACGAACTGATTCCAAGCTATCAAAAGTTCATCACTTCACCGCAAACAGCGCTGAGATAGGAAATCCTCAAATCTTACATCACTGATGTGTAACTTATTTACATACATACGTACATTGTTTGTAATTTAATTTGTCCGTTCAAGAAAATATTCATAAATGTTATTTTGTTCCTGTATATATATATAATTATTTCACGAAATCTAGTTTATCTATTATGATACATCTTTTGATACGTTTTTGAAAAAATAATTTATTTCCATAATATAGGATAATAAATTTACAGTATGTCTTCAAAATACTTATATAGACATAAAATGTTTCTATGTATATTCAATACTACAATAGTAATTTCTTACTAAGCTTTGACAATTGCTTTAAGTAGAAATAAAATCAACGTAAAGTATGTCGTTTATTTATTATATATTACATAATATCGAATCATACTGACGATAATTGTTGAATACGATGTTTTAAAAATGTCTCACGCTTAATAAGTTTGTCATCTAGACCAAATTGTTTATAACAAATTGGTAAAACTTTATATCCGCTATGTTCTAATAATCTCTCGTATAATTGAATTATTCCGTGAACCTCTACTACTCCATGGCAATAAGAGTGATAATCGTGTACTAATATGGCTAATCTGAAATTTACGCCAATAATTGTTTCAATATAATTATACATAATACTACATATGAAATTACTTTGAAATAAATGTATTATACAATGGCTATCAGTGATTTTCATCTAACACTTACTTATCTGTTTGTTCTGTTGTGTTATCTGGATTGATAATATTAAATTTAGAATCTATGTAACATTCGGCATCTGAAATGTTATTTAATTGTGGATATTCTTTTTTCAATAATATATTCTGTGAACTGTTTTACATACCCAAAAGAAAGCCCATTTTGGTATTTACGTTCATTGTAAAACTCTTTGGTGATGGTGATATGGCCTCTAATGTTTGTTTTAATACATCAATATATAATAATTTTTGTGATGAATGTGGTTTTATATGATGGTTTACAATAGCTGTATTTAGCAGTGGTCCTGAAAATAACATTTTATATACATATATGAAAACTATTTTAATTTTTTTTAAGTATGTATTAGAATATGAATTAATTGTAATCTACCATGATAATCTTTTAGAATATATTTTGCAGCACCATTAATATTCTGTAATTTTACTTCTTGGAGCAAGTTCCTCTCGAATGCTACGATAAAAGTTAGATATTAATCTGTTACTGATACATGAGCAATGATATGCAATACTCAAGAAATCTTACCTGCAGAAAATAGTGTTGTGACAAATTGATCATTTAATACAGATTCAACATCTGAATTTGATGCACTATTAAGCAAAACTAAGCACCAAACATAGCTTAACCAGTTATCAAATCCTAATACATCTAATGTCACTTGTGGCTTGAATTTCTGGTTAAAATAAAATAGAGAATCCTTCATATTAATTTAAATAAACATTAAACTAATTGGATTATTTATGTAATTTAAAAAGTTAATGAAATCGTTTGTACATGTACGCAATATTATATAAAGAGATAAAAACAAAGAATCCTTTATCTTCGCGTGTTTTTATAAAGTTGTAAGAATGTGTATCTAAAGTTCCGCATGTTAAGAGTGAAAAGAATCTGAATACACAATATTAACACTAGTGCACACTCAAGAATGTTTTTCATCTTTCACAGTTACTTAAATATCCTTTTTGACAACTAATTGACCGATTTAACTGAAAATATTTCTCTTGGTATATAACTTTTCAAATTTTGGAAATAATTTAGTAAAATGTACCTTAATAATGCGTAAATAAACTTTACATATATAATTATAAATTGAGATAATAGAATTATAATTATCCATAGTTTTAATTATGAAATATGTTCCATACATGATTCTTTCTTGGCTTCAAAGAAAGAGTATTCTAATATTAAGTAACATTATTAATATTATTATTGTCTAATAAAATGCTCATTATATATATAAATAACATGGTTGGTACAAATATATTTTATTTGTTTCTCAATTAAATTATTTGAGGCATTTTTTAAGAATTATTTTGTACTAGTACATACCTGTATCATCATATGCACTTCTTTCGATTGCTCGCCCAGTAATGCAAGTGACTGTATAATATTTAATATATACCAACTCTCCGGTCGTTCTTTAGTTTCAACGAACATTTTACATATATGATTTAAAAGAGCTGAATTTTTATACTTAAGCACCGACATAGATTTTAATATAGATCTTACTGCACCAGAGTTTACTTTAATGATACGTGACATAAGATACGAACTCATCTTATCAAGGAATGGCTGCAATATATTTAATTTTTCATGTACTCCTGAATATTATTGACTAGTTTTGCACATACATCCAGCTGTATCTTACCTCATCGATATAAGATAAAGTTGCCATACTGTATAGTATGGTTGAAATATGTGCTACAGAGAAATTTTCATGATATTCACTAATGTTATTAAATAAAAATTGTAATTGTTTCAGGTTTCTTTTTTTCAATTTTGCTAATTTGCTTATTTCCTATATTGAAGAACATATATAAGTTTCAGTTAAAGAAAAAAGAAATTTTTACTTATTTACCTGGATCATTGAAGTTGTAGAAAGTTCACCATACTTAGTCACAAATTCATTGTCGGTTTCTGTTTCAGTTTCTAACTTCACTTTATTATTATTATCTTGTATTAAATTTGATTTATTATTATTAGTATTGCTGTTATTCTCATATACCCATGTTATAATGGAATCCATTGTCTTTAAAATTTCACTTTGTGACAGATGTGGTAACTTTATCAGCTCCAACAAATCGTGTATATTGTCAGAAGATTTAATTTTTGAAGCGATTCTTGTGTCCGCCTTTAAAGAGTTACATACTGAAATTTTGAGTTTATTAAAGTTTTCCTGTTGTTCTTTGTTCATTCCATTTTCTGTTGATTTAAGAGTTTGCTTGAACAAACAAATTTCCATACAATAGTAGAACAAAACAGTATTCTTAATTCATAATCATTAGCAACAATTCACAAATAGTAAAATCTACCTTAACAGCAGTACCAGGCTCCTGTGAAGACATTGAGCTTGTTGCAAACAATGCAGTAATTCGCCAACGTAATCGAGGTGTGAATCTTGTACTTATGGTACAAATAGTAGTATTAAATTGTAACATTTTCATTGAGCTATAAAATTACATATATACACAAGTGGTTATGAAGGTAATGTCGACGATTTAATTAACAATTTTAATGGTAGATGTCATTGTCATTTTCACATTTATGACATATAAATTATTAAACTTACTCGGTACACAACTATTAATTGATAAAATAGAAATATTATTTTATATATCGTTTCTAAAAAATCAAAAGTAGATTCATTATAACGTTAGGTTATGTATGTGCCGTGGCCTTAGGATTTAGTCTGAACCTCAGCCATGGATAAAAGAAAAGAACTTAGATTGACTACTAAGCAGTGCTCGCGGCCCGTAAGAACTTTTAGAACCTTCCCTCACTTTCTTATCGGCAAAGGAAGGAGAAAAAGTGAAGGAGTCACCGAGAACGTGACGCAGCATTCCTCGCTTCTACACCTTTTCGTCTTCTTTTGTGTTGGGCAGTGGTTAAATAAAGGGATCAAGTTCTGAAAGTTTTTACGACTTGCGAGTGTTGCTTTCAAGTCCAAGAGTTTAGAAAATATGTAAAGTTGAGCGTTATGATTTACATATGTATGTACATATTTACTAATCCTACATTGTAATTTCGTTTTCCGTATTCGAATTCTTGAAATTACAACTATTTATTGACTAACAAATTCTAGTAGGATTTTTAATATTTTCAAGTATTTTATGAAAACTTTATGAAAATTTTACAACTTTCAGAATATGTATTTATATGTGAAATATATGCGTGATATACAGGGAGTCCTAAAATTATGGTACTTAGAGGAAATGGTACTTTGAGAAACGAGCTCGGCTGGCGCGAGGCTGCGGAGCCAACGAGTGGACGAAGCTCAGTTTCGCCCATTGGCTCGGTCAATGTTCGCCAGCCGAACCCGCCTTTCATTGGTCACTGTTTTTCGTTAATAACTCGTAAACAAAGCCGCGGATTGCATTTTCGCTAAGGAAAAAGTTACTTCAAATAACCTTAGGAACCCTTCATTTTCTGAAAGTACCATAATTTTAGGATACCCTGTATATGTGATATAACTAATATTATCCATAATTTCGAAATTGTTGGAAATGTTCCTTTATATATGCATCTATTACGTAACTAAGTAATATTTTTAAATTATAATATCCTCTTGCAACATTTATATATAATTCACATTTTTGAAATTACTTTGCACAAATGAAAGAGAAAAGTTATCGCGATAAATATTGCTAAAAGTAAAACAAGTATCTTTCATCTAATTTAAGTTATTACAGTGCAATATTATGTTTTGCAAGATCTGTACATGATTAAGTTAATAAATCGAACGAATTGAATATTTAAAAATAGAATCTAATGGGATTTATTTTATTTTAATAGAAAGTGGTCGAAATCAATAAAATCAATGTATTCCATACTTAAATATCTGTGTACATTTGTAATATAAAATAGGATGTAATAACAAATTAATTAAAAAATACTACATACTACAAAAATACTACATACTTCATTTCACAAATACATGTACATATATTAACGTATATGTATGTATATTACTGAAACGTTAAATTTTCCAATAGATAAGCATTGTTTATGGACTAAATGCCGAAAAAAAGAGCAACTAAGAAATTACCAAGAGAAATTTAACATAACGTAATAAATCGTAAAAAAATAGGAATTGTTGAGTAAGCGTAACAGCGAATCTAATTGATTGTTGTACATATTTAAGAATTTCACCAGAAAGATGAACATTTTGCAATACTCGCACTCCTGCGTGTTCGATGAAAATGAGAGTATCGATAATAGTATTTGTCCTAGGCGCGGTCCTTTGTAATTAGACTCATTGACCTGAACAATTAGAAATGTTATATATCGATATTCTCTGTTCAGCTGTCACACCTTCTACAATATTATTCCAGTTTTCGTCGGTTTTTGTAATCTTATCAATAATTCTCTTTTGTGCGCTATGATGTAACTAGAATTGTTTGACGTTTACATTAAAAAAGAATGTCATATGTGCAATATGTTAGACCGAAAGAAACAAACGGAAAATAAAATTTTGTTACACTATCTTTGATTGTAAATATAATCGATTTTCTGTTTCTGTTTAATCAACTGCTTAATCTCCGAGTTTTGGTGGAAGAATGGAAAATCTTTTTTTGTGCAATTCTATTGCATATTTGGAACCTTTATAATCCTCTGCCGTCACACAATTTTGCGTCATACGATTTTCAAACAACTGTCAAGGTTATGTCACCTATCGGTCACAAACTGGCAAACCTATTGAGACCCAAAAATTGCAGAATATAACTTTAAACATTCTAGAACATCGTTTCCTTTGGTAGAACTCGATATCTCACTTCCAAATATATTGAATTAATTGATAATTTAACTTTCTCCAAAAATAAAATGTGGATCATTTTGACCCAGTGCGACAGCTGGAGGTTGAACTGAAAATTACATAATTCTCTCTCTCTTTGTTTTTCTGCTTTACTACCATTATTAGTCTTTTCTGGACTCTAGAGGAAAAGCTGATTTGCTTTCGAAATTCATAGAGCGGTGACGTTAAAATAGACTTCTCTCGCTGCTTGGAAATATGAGAGCGCCGTACTATATACTATTTATAGTTGAGAAAATATTCAGTATTCAAAGAAAATTATGACAATGTCTGAGATCAGAATCGTTCTTTCGTACCTGAAATTGATCTTTTTATCGTTTTAAAATGTTGGGCATTTAAGTATGGGTAAATGGAAGTTATGACAATTGTGAAGAAACATCAATGTTTTGACAAAAACTAGTTATTGTTTTTAAATACACAGTGGCTGTACGAAATATTCGAACATTAAAATGATTTCCGACAAATCGTCGACACTTAACTGTTTCAATTTCGTAAAAAGGAATTGTGAGAACATGATGACCAAAAATAACAAATTTTAATGAAAAAAATCGTCAATAAAATCGTGTTTATTATTCAAGTTGTATTAAAATAATGACGACTTTCGGCAATTCTTTTCGAACGTAAAACATTGACGAAACTTTTGGTCGCAGGCGCCCCGCCGTCACAGCTTCTGCCGCTTGCGACAAACGGCTAGCGCGACGCGGCAGGCCGCAAGGGCGGAGCGCTGACCGTACGCGCTCTCCGATTGGAGAGCCCAGCTGGCGCGAGCGGCCGAGCCAATCAGCGGAACTGGGCTTCGACCGATCGTTGGCTCGGCCGCTTCGCACCAGCTGATCTCGTCTCTCATTGGTCACTGTTTATCGTTAATAACTCGTAAACGAAACCGCGGATTACATTTTCGCAAAGGAAAAAGTTACTTGAAATCATCTCAGGAACCCCTTATTTCTTGCTTGTACAATAATTTTGGGACATTACGCAATGTCGATTGTTTTTATTTCAAAAAGATTTATTATGAATATTATAAATGATTTCATGATTTCCTCGCTTTCCAATCTGGGAGGGGTGACGTCGACGTAAATAAATATATTTTCGAGTAACGGGTAGTAAATTTCTCCCATCTCCGCCTTACTCCTTGGAACTTTAAAATCTTAAAACCTTGAGCCTAGTTCCAAGCAGATCTAGGCACATTTAAAATATTACTTATTTTATTTCACGACTATTTCCACGCCCGCGATTACATTTGAAATTATATTTAAACGAAATGTTATTTTATTTTACAATTATCTGAAATAATTATCCGAGATAAGTGTGAAATTCTTCCTAGAAATTATACGGTGATCTAATTTATTAGTTCGGATTAGCTCTGATTTACACGTCACATTTATTCATTGTTGACATTCCTGCAGTATGGAACGTCCCATCTGATTATGTTAAACGATCGAACAAATTTCTTTCGTCAAGTTCACAAAATAATAAAAATGATAGAACGTCTAAATGAATTCGGTCTTGTTTTCTTCACAAAACAACACACTTCAGCAACTTGTAGAGATTAGTAAAGTTATATGTACCCATTAAAATAGTATGTTACCTTAAACGTTTCCTAAAATAAAGTTCTTTTCGTCGTATATTGTTCCGAGGATTTTTTCTTTCGTCGGCTGCCATTATTATTTCAAATGGACTGATATGATTTTTATTTTCATAACGAAGAAACGAATTATTCGAATCAGTCGTTTCAAATGAAATTTGCCGAGGTCCGAGATACCAGGACGGCCGATCGTTGAACAATTGTGGAAACGTAAAGAATGCGTCGAACGCGACATTAATTATTGACTCGGTGTAGCCAGCAATACCTGGGCGAATAATGCGAAAATTCGATTCAGCATCATGCGAATCGTGCGTTCCCACTAGTTGCTGGCCGATCGTGCGACCGCGTGACAATATTTAAAACGACGCGACGCGACGCGACGCACGACGCAGCCGTGGCTCGCAGGATTGCGTGGACGTTTTTCATCTTGGTCGCGACACGTGAAGGAAACGGTGGATTCTGTCTGCTTTCTGACAGTCTTCGCACAGCCGTGACGGATAGAAGACATTGGCGATATTGGTGGCATCGGTGACATTAGCGGAGACTCGAACCACGATGGTTAACCAAATCGCTTCTCTCTCGTTTACGGTCGGTCAGTATCTCTTGTTTATTTATTTGAATCGCTTGAATGCTTTACGTTCCGAATCTTTGTTCGCGCGTATACAAATTTATGCTACTCGTGTGTGACATTTTCCTCGAAATATCGATCTTTGGATGTGTAATTCGACGAGAATTAAAAGAATCGAATTTAACCACGACGCGTGAATGCGGAATCGGAAATTACGAATCTACAAATTCCTCGAGATCGCGCACGAAAAATAAGAAAAGAAAATACTGTCGAAAGTGTGGCTACTTTTGTAAAAATGGAATTAGGTCTAAACCGGCAACGAGCTGCAGGATTAACCGATCTTTTATTAACGAATGATTTTTTAAATCGTTATAGGACAAGATCATAAATCGATTTTAAAAAATTGATTTGACTTGGAACATTATTTGACATTGAAATTCTGAACGTTAATTGCTAGGGTAAAAATTGTGTTAAAACGTGCTGTACGGTATCCAGTGTTACTCTCTCTCTCTCTCTTTATCTATTTTCTTTCTTTTTTTGCTCGTTTTCATCGCGCTGGAATACATTTTCTTGCAAAATGATAACAGCTTAATCGAAAATCATAATAAAGCTCGGTAATGGATATTATCTCACATTGAAGTTTTACGATTTTATTTCGATTTATTATTACCTTCCTCTGTTTCAATTTTCGACATTAACAAAATTAAAATGTTTCCGTGAATTTCCAGCTCACCGAATTCAATGATATATTTAAAAGGTTATTTACGTCGGAAACTGAAGTTTTTATCTATAAATGCGACGGATTCTTTGTGTAACTGTTTTCGAGCAAATTAAAAAAATCTTTCGCAATATCGAGGAGAAGCGCGTTCGTAAATATTACGGCGAAATGTTGCTGAATCAGTAAATCGAGCTGTTAGTTTCGTTGAATTTTAAAGCTATAAATTATTTTTTAGATGTCTCAATGCTCGTCGAATATTTAACCGTATGATTTATTAATTCTTAATAATTTTTCTAATTATTAATTCGTCGTTAATGAAACTAAATTGATCTATTATCGAATCCGTACGAATCTCGTTGCAGCGGAAATGTTTTGGTTTAATTCGGGTATTATAATTTACACAGTCGAATGAAATTTTTGAAACGTAAACATATTGGAGTTACGAGAACACTTGAACAGATGGCCGCCCAATTATTTCGGCATTTATCAGCGACTGTGTTAGTTCTGCATCTTGATTGGATCTTGCACATATTGCTTGAGTTTGTTAGAAGAAACAATAGTAACACATATTGTTTTATGACAATTACGTGATCGAATTTATTCGAAGTTTATACGATTTTCATTATAAAATATCTCGAGATGTATTTTATTTATATATATATATATATATATATATATATATATAACATCTCGAATAAAGAAGTTCATAAAAAGTTTTCGCGTGCAAACATTTGTATAATTTCAGCAACTATGATATAAAACAATTGGAAACATAATTATTTTGATTCGTTTGTTCGTTCGAGTGTCAAATTATCGTTACTTAAATATAGAATGTAAGAATAAATTCCGATGGTAATATGTATCTTTAATTAATCTTAAGTGTCAGATACGGATGTACATGTAATTTACACCTTTACACGGGTACAGGATGTTTGCTATATGCTAAAGACTTTAATACGTAGACTTATTGAGTTAATATAAACGCTATAATTACGAGTTAATATAACCTTGAATAATTACAACCTTCTTTTTCATTAACTATTATATTCTTGAAAACGCGTAGATTAGAGTTTAACGCAAGCACGAAGCTTCGTGCATGAAATATCGAGAAAACAATGAGATAGGGATGTCAATAACGACTGGTACCTGTTATTAGAATCTTTTACATAATAGGGAGTCATAGCAATATTTAACGTATCAATAAAAAATAGAATAAAACAATTCTAAACTGTAGCGTGCAATAATACTGCAGGATTAATGCATAGCAACATATAATTCGTCATAGAGAAAAATATTTCTTGTTAGATTTCTGTGAACTTTAATTGGTACTTCAAATTCATTTTAATTCGTATACTTCATCGGAAGTATACAGGGTGTTCCAAAATTATTATATAAGCGTGAAATACGGGGTTCCTGAGGTGATTTAAAATAACTTTTTCCTTAGCGAAAATGCAATCCGCGGCCTGGTTTACGAGTTATTAACGAGAAAACAGTGACCAATGAGAGGCGTGATTGGCAGGCGCACCACCCTCGCGACCTCTGCCGCTGCGTCAGACGATCGGCGCGGCGCGGCACTGACTGCAAGGGCGGAACGTCGACCGCGCTCGCTCTCCGATTGGAGAGTCCAGTTGGCGCATGGCGGCCGAGCCAATGAGCGGAACAGTGCTTCGTCCGCTTGTTGGCTCGGCCGTTTTGCGCCAGCTGATTTCGTCTCTCATTGGTCACTATTTTTCGTTAATAACTCGTAAACGAAGCCGCGGATTGACACCCTATATATTAGCTATGCGAACTGTTAAAATCAATTTGATGTAGGCGATTGCGTATGCAAATGATAATCGATAACAATATCGATTGTATTAACAATCGGAAAGCGGGCGGTCGGATGCTGGTGAGTCGGAAGTCGGTACCGAGTCACATTTGATGGAAGCTAAATTAGTGTACCTCAGACGTTATGAAATGAAAAAGGTAAAACGTTTCATTGTCAGAAATGACCCGCCAGCACCACCTGGCGAACTGTTAAAGGCCAACACGTACTATCCACTTCTCATCCGCTGACCAATTGCTTTAAATAACATTTACACCACTTTCGTTGTTTTATCGCCATCGAAATTTATTTCGAAGAACAGCGAAACGTAGAACGCACGGAATGATCAGCCCAGACGAGGCGGCGCTCATGCGATACACTCGGAGTGTCTTTACACGATTTGTGCCATTTGTTTTGAGTATTTTATGGACGTACGCTGCACGAACATCGTCCTTGATGGGTTAATGTTTATAGCTCGAAAACCACCAGGACTTGCTCGAGGCTCGTTATAAAATTTATTTCTTATTTATAAATAGAATTTTAAATATAGCTCATCAGGTATTTTTTTTTATTACTTATTGTTTATTCGGCGCAACGTATCGAGCACGCGTCATAGTCGGGAAATGATACCGCTTCAAGCGGTATCGTTAAGTTCACGAAGGGAGACACAAGTTCTTCAATAAATAAAAGGAAAAAAGGAAAAAGTAACAAAAATTGCTTATTATTTGCTTTTCGCCTAAATTCGAATAAAAAATAACATCTTATTTGCTGACAAGAAGTAATGAACAAATTATTTGTGGAATTATTCGAATGATTTTTAATTAAATATAAAATTACGAATGAAGTATTAATTAAATGAAATTTGCCGAACTTTACCGAGTAGTTCACGGTGATATACAGGGTGTCCCGAAAATGTCTCGCAATCCGGAAATGGGAGGTTCCTGAGGTCATTAGAAGCAACTGTTTTCTTTGCGAAAATTTTCTTCGAGGCTTCGTTTACGAGTTATTAACGAAAAACACTGATCAATAAGAGGCGAGCTCGGCTGGTACGCGGCGGCCCAGCCAACGAGTGCGCGGAGCCCAGTTCCGCTCATTGGCTCGGCCGTCTCGCGTCAAATGATCTCGCCTCTGATTGGTCACTGTTTTTCGTTAATAACTTGTAAACAAAGCCGCGGATTGCATTTTCGCTAAGGAAAAAGTTGCTTCAAATGACCTCAGGAATCCCCTACTTTCGGATTGCGAGACATTTTTGGGACACCCTGTATTAGATTCTAGGTTAGATTTGGCGAGGCTTGAGATAGGTTTATCGAACAAATAGGAAAACGACCCGGAGAACATCGGTCGCGACAAAATACATACAATTTCAGGATCATTGAAATCGGCGACATGTAGATGCGTACGTTAGCTTTACGCGGCAAGTTCGATGAATGTTTTCCAAGGCCGTACGGTGGCAGTGTAAAAACTTTTCCAAAATGATTACCTTAATAATAAAGGAACGATAAACAAGAACGTGCTTCGCCAGACCTGTTATTGTGTCATCGACGCCGACTACGTACGTTGTTCGCGCAAACATGTATCAATCGTATTTGGATTGTTGCGTGTATGGTGCGCTGAAATGTGCGGAGCCAGATATTTTACGTCAGTAACGAGCGCCGAACGTGTTCGTTCATATTTTGGTTTTGATTTCTGCTTATCGAGCAAACTGTTTGCTGTAGTGTTCGTACGTCCGTTACCAGTACTCTGACGTACTCGATTATGTTTTCTCGATTTTGTAGCCAGCCCCCGATAATTCTAACTTTTATCCGTACGCGTTTCTCCGCGTGGAAGCGTGCGTATATCAGGTTTCAGCGAATTTGGAAAATCGCGTTCGACGCTAGGCTCGCGGAGCATTTTTTATATATTACTTTATAGGAGTAACATTCAAGGTCATCGTGTAGCAGGTCACTGTAGCAGGTCGTTGAATTCGTCACGACGTCGCCTTCAATGCTGTGAAGTTACAATTACCTAGTTTCACTTAAGAATATAACGATGACCTTGTTCCTCTTATCGAAAATCAACTTGTTTTTAAAGTTAAATAATTGCAATTTCCTGTCGGGGTTATATGCTCATTAACTTTTGGGCAGGAAACATTTTATTGTCGAACCATCGGCAGGGGCTGAGATGTCGTGAGGACTAATTTATGATCCACTTTGTATATATATATAAATATATATACATATATACAATTTGGGAAGAGGAGTC